GTCCAGAGAGGATCCCTGCCCTCCTGCCCCCCAACCCCGCTTTGCCCGTGTTTGAGGGAAGGAGTGCGCGTGTGTGAGAGAGGGGGGGAGAGGGAGAGGGAGAGAGAGAGAAAGCCGAGGAATTTAGTGAGGACACTAGTAATTTATCTGGGGGATAAGAGAGGCGGATCCAGCCCAGGGGAGGGGCCCTGCCCGCTGAGCACACCACATCCCCAATCACAGACCTTTGCACGGGACTGGGAATGAGGTATCCCAGCAAGCCTTTGCCGAGAAACTCGGAACTGGGATTCAGATCTTCACAACTGGAGCAAAGCAACTCTCTCTCCCTCTCCCCCCCCCCGGTCTTTCTATCCTCCCCCTTCCTCCTCCTTCTCCTCCTCCTCCTCCTCCTCTTCTCCTTCCCCACTTCCCTTTCCAGCCCAGGCTTGCTCTGCCCCTCCCTGCCTCCTTGATGACCCAGGCAGCTGGTGTCACGATTCTTGATGAAAGCCAAAATGGGTCATGAGCAGAAAGAGAGCTGCAGATCCACCAGCCAAGCCTTCCAGGGAGCTTTGTAATGCGTGCTGTCGAAACGCTGTCCTGTAACCTAATCTGGGGGAGATTTGTGGATGATTATATTTGCGAATGCATCCTGTCCAGCTACTAGTGTATTCCAGGAAGGGAGTGCTCCGCTGCCTGGCCAGCAGCGTGGACCTTGCCGTCACAGCCCAGGGGCTGGAGGCAGGAGGATCTGACTTCTTCCAGCCCTCCTGGGTGACCTCCGACAAGTCCCGGTCCCCTCTCACTCTTTGATTCCCCCCAGCTGTAAGCGTCCTGGAGGCTGCCCCGTCCACAGGTGTGCCGGGCGGCTGAGATTTTGGTGGTCCGCGGAGACCCACCAAGCCGAGGAAGAACACCATGCCAGTGGGGAGGGTCAGTGTGGCTGCAGATGGGGCAGCCAGGGTGTACACTGAAATGAAGGAAAAGCGGGGTGTTCCTGGATGGTAGAGATTGCACAGAAACCCCCCTTTTTCTCAGCGCGTTGTTGCAGAGCAGATGTCAGCGTTTGGTTCTGCTGTACCCGTGGAGCGCTTTGTCTGCTGATTTGTGCATGCTCAAAAGTCAGGGAGTTTTGCCTGAATGAAGAGACAAGATAAGGCCCCTTCTGTGGGAGTGGTGGGAGTGAGGGCATCAGGCCGTACTCTGCAACCACTGAAGCCCAACATTCCCAATTGTTTTACCACTAGTGTGAATGAGCAGGGTGCTGTGTAGTTTGAATGAGCAGACGTACGCTGCAGTTACAATCTTTATGCACATGTGTATTCAGTCTCTGCAGAACAGGCTTTTAAAAGCAGTTAACCTTGGCCTAGCTCTTCTTCCTCTCCATATAAAATCTTCTCCTAAACCCACATGTGGAGCCCAAAGAGGCCTGTGAAGCATGAACTTGCTCCCGTAGCTCCTTCCCTCCTCACATGCTTCCTGAAACCCAACAGGTCTCCCAGCAGCCTGAGTTTTGAACATGGGGGACTAAAGGACTGGGCAAGATCTGCACCTGGGACCTTTCTGGACACAGTGACTGATCTGAGTGCAGGAGCAACTCCACTTATTCAGCTGCTTACCTGAGGATTCACATAGCTCTGGACAAAAATGTACAGCCTGAGATGTCACCATGGCACCCAGTGGCTTCGGAGTTAATCCAAGGTCAGTGGAGCCACAGGAAAATCTCTTACTGATCTGTGTAAGCATCACATCGGGTTTTCTGCATGCACTAAACAAAAACCAACCAACCAAACAAACAAAAATTGTGGAGGGCCAAACTGGTATGTCTGCCAAGTGCTATGTACTGTCTGCAGATTAAAGTTTCAGTAGGAGGCAGAGTGTAATTTTTGATAACTAGCAAGGAAGTCTCTCCTATCTCTTGGTCCATCTTGGTTCCTTGGCTCACATAAGCCAGAAGAAAAAGGGCAGATCTAAACTTTAAACCAGCTCTTTACTGTTTGGCTGGAAGATAACACCTTCCCACTCACAATAGGATAAGTACATTAAGATATCATATCTCCAAGCCCTGGGCTCTTGGGAATTCACTAACCTCTAACGTCATGTTATGTTAACTGTGCCCTGTTTGTGTTTTCTCTGTGTATAAACTAAACAGATTGTCAGCATATCAGTTGTAATTAATGAATTAGCTTTGCCTTTTTTTTTTCTTTTTTCTTTATAACATCCTTGTTGCAGATCCAAAATATTACTAATCACCAGTGCGGAGATTTATGAGCCTCCTTATTTTCTAGGCTTGATTATTGTTTGTGCAGGTGGAGATTTAAATGGCCGTATCCACTGCAGAGATTTATAGTCCAAGTGATTGATGTTAGAAATGAGCTACAAGACTCCTACTGGAGCAAGGATGACAGAAAACCAAGTTGAAGTTGCTTGCGTCTCTAAGCACGAATGACCAGAGAGCATGAATGACCAGAGAGCACAAAATCCCATCAAAATTTCAGCATCAGAAGCTCCCAGAAGAACAAAACAACAAAAATTATATACTCACATCTTTTCTATCACTTATTTTTAACTTTACCTTAGTAATTTCTAAAAATTTGTTGTAAAAAGCAGAAGGAATGGTCTGGCTTCTTAAAAACGCCTTTAGTATACTGCTACATGCACGTTCTGAAGATCAAGGTATGCACACGTGTGTTGTGAGCCTTTAGAATTGCCACACATTTGTAGCTTTTACTGATGTACATGTATTTTTGAGTCCTCAGAGCCAGTAAAATTGATCTAGTACAGACTGCACACTTTTGTGGACACACAGGACACATTTTTGTATTCATTTTGTGGAGATTATTGTGTGTGTGTCATATATACTCACATACATGTAGTATAATGTACTTTGAGTCCTTTATGCATACAGACTATTACACACTCTTTTAACAACATAATCGTCCCTTTTTCCCTCTCCAAAGGGGCCAGCATGGGTAGACCTAAAAAACTGTATCCTCTCGTCTCTGGGTAACTCCTGGTTCCTTATTTGTTTGTTATATGAGTTGAACCTCTCCTTTTCCAACCTTCCTGCTCCTTATGTCCCTCCTGGCAAGCCCAGGGCTTGCACCCATAATCCAGCTCCCGGTTTCAATCCCTCTCCCCTCACCTGAATCGCCTTGCCCAGTCCTTCTGACTCTCATTCTGAATTGCAACCCCGGTTCGGGATAGAGACCGACGGGGTAGAGACCAGACCAGTCCTGTGGGAAGGGTAAAGCTGGGATGGCTGCAGCCACCGCGGCGATGGTGTGGCCATTTACTTCTCCAGTTAAATGACGGGGACCACAGACCAGCCACTGGGTTAGTAACTGACTGGGAAAGACAGATGGAGCTAAAGTCCTTTTGGCCTTTGCAGTACATTCCCTTCTTCATTCATGTTTTAAAAAGGAAGTTGAAATACTGGCATGGGGAACATCAATACAAATCTGTGGATTTGCCCTGTAGATGACTTTCTCCTCTGCATTGCTCTGGCTACACAGGAAAGTGCATCTCTCTTTTACTTCTAATTGAGACCCACTAAGCCATAAGGTCATAAGCGAGGGGTGATGGGGGCAGAGATTCGGGATGCCTGGTCTGAAGGGTGTCAGATGGGGGACATGTCACCCATAGGCTTATGCTGGTCTATGGCAGGTTACAGATGTCCCCCTGAAAAAAAAGCCCCACTTTTTTATGCCTCCAACCTTCCCTCCCCTGGGCTGGAATAACACGGTAATTTGAGAACAGCTTTGGAACTTGAGGCCAAGATTTCTGCAAGCGTCTCATGATTTTGTGTGGCATGGCTTGGGATTTTTTTGGTTTTTCTTGGTGTTCTGTGTCATTTATCACATTTTCGCTGTGCATTGAACAGTCACCCAAGAAAAACCTCAGATCACCCACAGCTGAGAAAAACATAATCAGTAGCTGGTTTTAAAACTCTTTGCCCAAGTATAATGCAGGTGTTTTCCTATATTTGGAGAATAACCAAGGAAGTCACCCATAGGCAGCCAGCTGATCACGAATCATATTCAGTCAGGTTTGAGAATAATCAGGAATAAAAGTATAACCAGATTAGTGTTTTCAAGTTGCAATTTCTTCAAAATATTTGGTTGCGCTGAGGTTTCTCCTGCTTACTCTTGGTCTCCCCTGGAAACTAAGTGAAATGGTGGAGGGACTTCAGAAGCATACTTTTACATACCTTAAGTGAAATAATACTAATAATATACTATTATATAAGAATAATACTAATAATAACTAATACTAATAATATAATACTAATACTACTAATATAATAATCCTGTGATATTTTTGCAGTAGGATTCTGTCTTGTCCATTGTAGAGGATGGACAGTGCTGGGGAAATGGATCAAAGTTGCTTGTAACAGTGGGGTAGCTTTTCGGAAGGGCCGAGGCACTGAAACCCTCCCATGGCTCCTTTCCAGTGCTGTGTGTCTGTTTCTGGTCACAGTTTTGGTTTGAAAGGTAAAAGACATTGTGATAAGTAACAGAAAGCAATACACAAAGAGAAAAAATAATGTCACTGCCAAGACAGTAAAAAGGCTGTCCTGGAGAACTGGCCCAAGAGGCACATATCTGTGTGTGATACCAGCGTCACTACCCCTCCCCAAGAAATCCCCACGTCTTACTTCAAAGCCCCGAGAAATCAGAGCTTTTTGAGAAACTTTTCTAGAATAGTTTATTGCAGGGAAAAAAACCAAGAATATTTCCTTCTAGTCTCATTTAGAAATATCTGAAAGCGTTGCCGATACCTAGAATGGAAAAATTTCAGTCTTACTGATTACAGATTAGAAAATTTAGAAGGAAATAAACTGCAGTTTCAAGAAAATTTATGAAGAAAGTTATGCAGCTGCCATAATGCCATTTCATGTGACTTTTAAAACCTTGAAACGTCACAAACCCGAAAACATTGAAACTCTAGGAAATGGAGTTCCAAAAAAATT